AATGAGGAAAAGTATGCAAAAGACGCCAAACCTAACGTTTTAGCTGAGTTTTACCGTGTTCCTAGCACAAATATGTGCTAGAAAAACGGTAAAACTCAGCTAAAACTGACAAAAAATAAACCGAGAAGTATGAAACGCACTGGAAACTTTAAAAATGAGATGTGGGTAAAAACTGCGTGAAATTTACGCAGGTGGAAAAGAAACTCCCCCACCCTCCCCCTCCCCCAAAAAAAAGAAGAAATCCAAAGAAAATCGATTACGCGCATTTCCAAGACGTTTACAACGCTCACTTACCTGACTGCAGCGGATCCTCAATGCAAAGCATCGAATTCGACGGCCGATGCATTTGTGCCAAAATTTCGTCTTTCCAAACGTAAGCGCCACCGTCCCGAATGCGTATTGCCGTTCTCATGTAATTAAATTCCAGTCCATAAAGCTGGAAAAATTCCATTAAGAGCAAGCCCAAATTCACATCGGGCACTGCGCAATGCGAATAATCGTACCTCGGATGCAGCTGCAACGAGAAACAACAAAACTAATTGACCAATTCAATAAACTGCGGCCGTCAGAAAGCCAAATCTTAAAACAAGTGGTAATTTCTCTGAGTTTTTTACGCAAAAAAAAAACCATGTTGCAAAAAGGAACAAACAGCAGATATTTTTATGGGCAAGAAATGAAAAGCGGACAAAACTTTCTCATTGCTTCAATTATCGCAAATTCACATGCGTGATATGCAAATTCCACGTCTTGCGACTGGAGTGTTCCTTGTAATACAAAACCATGATATGACTGATATTTACAAGTGCTGTTTTATTATTCAGTTGAATTTGTGTGGTGGCAAAATCGTTTTTCCCTAGTTTTTTGCTTTTCTCGAAAAAAAAAATAGTTTTTTTAGCCGTGCTCCTTCTAGTAGATAGAAGGATTGGGCTACTTAATTGAAACCAATTCATTATAATTTATAGAAAAGTTTTACCTGTAAAAAACTTATTAGCATCAAAATTAACCCGTACGAAGATAATCCACCAGAAAACACCTGGAAAACACCCTGATACATCGCAGTTATACTAATTAATACTTCTGGTAAGTCAACAGCAACAAAAAGCACGTATAAAAGTGAATAATTAGCTACATGACATCAACCCTCCTCCCCCTTCCCCCTCTATTCATTCAAAATGAAAAGCAGAACATCAAAAAGCAGTCCGAGATGGGAAATAGCACATACGCATAGGCGGATCCATGGG